GACAATATGGACGTAGAAATGCTTCTTTAAAAAGCATCTTCGGCAATGTATTATCCTTACTAAATAAACTAAATAAGCGTGCAATTCTCCCTGAAATGAATATTCTTTCCTCATACTTTCCTATGTGTCCTTATAAAAAAGAATGGGACCTCTTAAAGGCTCTTATGGGAACGACGAGAAGTGGTAGTGATACATCAAGCATGCAAAAAGGAATACCATGTTCCAAATTTAGTTTCAAACCGCAAATTTCTCCCAAGCCCATTCAGCCATAAAACTTCACTTTTCAGTTTCAGGTTCTGTGATGTTTTAAGAAGGCACCCTCACTCAAATGCCAGTCCCATTCCTTGGACTTTCTCCCCTTGTTCGACTGCCTTAAGTATAACTGTCTCCTCTCCATTGTTGCTTGCATGGATTTCTGTAAGTAGCTATCATAAAGAAAGTTGAATTTGTGCTTCCTTCAAAAAGAATCGTATTTCAGTATGTGTTCACTTAAAGAAATAGTTGCAACCAAATTTGAATTTGGGTTAACTTATCGCTTATCTTTCATTCCTATCCTGATCCTAAAAAGAGTTTTTCCAACAACGCTTAATTTTTATATAATAGAAAGATCTCAGCAGGGTCTTATGAGTGGTAGTTGCTTCACACAAACAAGCCCCAAGTGACAACCAAAATACCATATTAGTCCATCTAAAAGCTTTTCACATTTTCTTTGTCTACACAGGCAGACGTGTGTGTACTCAGACACAAAGCCCATCCACACAACTTCCCTGCCCCAGCTTAAAGACACCGCACTTAACTTTTGCAGAGGACATGTCCTCACAACAGGGCCTCCACCTCACAGCCCGCCCACTGCTGAAGCAGAGTGAAGCCAGTCTAAGGATTCTGGCTGGAAAGTAGTAAAATGGGTGAGGGTTTGGGAAAATGGAAGGAAACACCCCATGCGAGCACCAGTCGGTCTGCTGCAGGACCCCCCTTTCCCACAGGCTCTGGGCGCCTCTAGCCCATTCTACTGTGTCTGCCAGAGAGACCGTGCACCTTTCCTGCGCAGTTACGTTATCGCCTTCTTTTTCTGATTAGGTCATGAGCATCAGGAGGCTGATACTCCCACAGATGCCCCCAAACAAATTCCCTCCACCTTTCAGCATGTGCAAGCCTGGTCAACTTCACCTTCTTCTTCCCCAAACCTCATACTCTTTTCTCCTGGGACTTGCCGCTTCACCTTGGCCTCAGGAGCAGACCCAATTGTCCTGGGTCAGCACAGTGGGTTGTAAATCACCTAAGTGACAGGAAAATGCTGAGTGCAGTGAATGCCTCTAAAGATGGGCTTTAGGAGCCAGAGGTGAGAGGAAAAATGCCATCCCATTGCTCCAACTGCCTGGGGAAGTTTCCCTTCACTGGCTCTCCCTTGCTTCTCCTAGCAATGCCTGCATCCAAAGCTTTCCCCAGGCCTCTTGTTATTATAGTTCCTGGGAAGAAGAGAATCAATTGCTATGCCACAGCATGGGAATAAATCCATACACTCACATATATATTGGTTGGAACGTTGAGGGATTCTAATCTTTACAGCTCCTCTGATAACTGCATTTATGAAGAGGCCACAGAAGATCAGGTGGCTTTTCACGCAGTGATTATTATTAAGTTTGTTGCCACAGGCTTTGCTCAATCACATTGAGCAGCTTTGTCCAACCTGGTACTCTTCCGATGTCTTGAGTTAATAAATCTTATTATCTCAAGCAGTTGGTTGTCCCAGAATGTCTCCACCCTACTAATAGAAGTAAAAGACATTCACCTCATGTGAATATTGGACTAATGTCACTAGTTATGCCACAAATAACAGTAGTATAAACTTCTGGCCTTTATGTGGAAATCTGCCATAGAGTGTATCTTTTAGCAGCCTCCTCTTAGAGAACTGTAATGTAGGAGGGAGATCTTATTTGACTCTTTCATGGATCTGTTTCCAGTTGGGCTACAACTGTGTAGAGAGGAGTCATTCAGGATTAATGCTCATCTGATCATCCTCATGCTCTCTGACACCTGAAGACTCCTAGTTCCAAGGATCCATCACCCCCCAGAGCCGCCTTCTCCTGCACTCTCACCTGGGAGTGCACAGCTTTATGCTGCTCCAAGCTAACAGCATGGCCAAATGTCTTGCCACACATTTCACAAGCGAAGGGCCTGGTGCCGCTGTGTGAACGACGAACATGCACCTCTAGGCCATGTGGAGTAGAGAAGTCCTGAGAAACAAAGAATGAAGGAAAACATCAGTGTCCAGGACTAAAGCTCACAGCAGATTCTGACTCTAGGCTCTTGAATTTGCCAGACCCAGGATTTCCCTTAGTAATACCACTGAGCTCCAACAAAAGGACAATATGGACGTAGAAATGCTTCTTGAGAAGTAGTTGCTGTTGACAATTAATGCTGTTATTCTAGGAATTGTATTGTAGCTGTTTTTAAAGGATGGTTACATTCAGGGATTCCCAGTTTAAGCTAGTCTATACAGCCAGGTGACAGGTTTTTTTAAAAAAATTACATGTGATCCATTAAACAGATCAATCAGCTAGGTAGTTAAACTGGAAACAATTTTGGATTGCTTTATGAAAAGGGTATTATGACCTTTTGTGATACATAGTATGTGATGAATACAGTAATGAAACTTGGCAAAAATCCACTCAGATCAGCAAAAAGCTATTAGTGGTGACTAATAATAATGGCTATATATACTACCCCACAATCAGAATCACAGCATTAGATTTTGGATTTTTTTTTTAATAGGTGTTGGGGAATGAGAGCTGGATTTCATGTCCTGCTGTGGATTTCCCATAGGCATCTTCCTATGGTCTTTAGAATCACCTCATCAAGTCATGTGACACTCTGGCCCCACCTCCCATCTGTTCTTCAGGTCATCGATCTACCTCTATTTTGGCCAGCTTTGCCTGTTGCTTTGCCCATCCTTTGTCTGGCTCTTCCTCTTCAGACTGCACTATCTGTACTGAGAGGGTCTCCAGAGACATCCTAATTCCTACCTTGCTGCATTTGACGCATTTGTAGGAGCCACTGCTGAGCAACAGAGGGCGACAGAGGAGTTCTGACTCCAATTTGATGCTATTTGCACTCTTCTCTGGTTGCAGTCCAGTTGGGGTCTCCACAAAGATTCCAGGGGCTGCTGCTGGCCGCTCAAAGAGTCCAGGAGAGCCAAAGTCACCATAGAGTCCAAGAGCTGAGTTACGCTCTGATGCATACAGAGCAGGCTCAGATCCCCGCTCACAGAAGAGACCACGTTCCAGAGTTGAGCAGGGCCTGCAGTTCTGTACCAAATGTCTCAGTTCAGTATTTCCCAGGCTGTTCCATGTGTAGGGTTTCAGGGGCAGGGAGAAGTGGGAAGGTTCATCTAAAGATGGACAGATGGACTGCTCGGAAGCTGGTAAGATACAAATAGTGTAGAGACAATTAATAGGAAGTCCACATAATGCATGCAGTCACAAGCCTCCTTCAAGGGAAGGGAAGGGAAGGGAAGGGAAGGGAAGGGAAGGGAAGGGAAGGGAAGGGAAGACATCTACATTCAAATTGCTTTATCAAAGTTACATTGCAATTTCAGGACAATCACTCTCTCATTTATCTAGTGTTTCAAATGAACACAAAACACTCTGTCAGAATTAACATGCAATGAAGAAATTAAACTCTCCTGTAAGCAATAAATAATAATGCTGAACCAGCTCTCCTACTTATACATTTAAACAAAAGCTTCATAACAACCACTCATCTAGGTATGAATTCAATGTTTTTCATGAATTTAGTTACTGTTCCTGTAAGTAATAGTGTTATATTTTCCATATGTATTTTGCTTTAGGTGGGGGGAAAAAAGGCTGTTTTCAAAAATATAACTCTGTGCTGTCTTTTGTGTAGGATTTTGAGATTAAAGGGAAATTAATTCTCCACTTGTTCTTTTTCCTGACCCGAAACCAGTGAGATTAATTCTATCATTCTTGGGTCTCATCTCAGAACTGATTGCCTGCATGAACCTTCTTCAGCAATACCTTTGCCCATCTTCTAAGCTGGTGAGTAATTAGCTATATAGATGTGGTATTTTGAAGAGATAATAGCAAAAGCTTTTCCCATTTTGGGATTTAACTAGAAACCATCTGAGAATTTAACCAATTGAAGTTGCCTTCAGCATCTTCAGAAACTTTAGGGGTTTGAGATTTCTAGGAGGAGATGGGGACAAGCTTTCCAAAGAAGAGCTCCACAAGTAGTTGACACTTGAATTGTCTTTATACAGTTTTATATTTTTTCTTAAATTGTCTATCACCTTGAATACTTTATGTTCAGAAATACAGGACATAAATCAAAATAAAGCAGCATTTAAAACTGATATTTTGTCTGTTATTAAGACTATATTCTTATCTCTTTTAGGTGCTTATATTCACCTTCATAAGGTGACTCTCTGTAGGGGGGAATGGCTTCCATGAATAGAAGAAGGGAGGGAGGCAGTTATTTGCAAATCTCTGTCCTGCAGTCATATTCACATCATGTCATATGCCACTATGTTCCAACCATATAGATCTGATCTGGATGAGGGTGCACAGAGGGAGTGCGGTGAGGAAGGAAATGGGAAATCAGCACAAAGCAAGTCCCCAACTTCCATTCACAGAATGCAAGATTGGACAGACTTCGTTAAACAAAGCAGGATATAGTTAGATACAACTCCATTAACTCTACTTGCTTGAATTAAAATTGATGCTGCAATGTTTGAATATAGAACAAATAGCTCACCGAAATATTATTAATATTATAATATATTAATATTGAACCCAATGATATAAAGTCTCCAAGTGGGAACTTAATGAAGTGAGCCAAACAACTCACACTTGAGGTTGTCCTTGTAAAAAAAAAAAACTATATCTATCTGCAGCAAAATCAAAAGACATGGACCATGAACATTTTAAGACTGTATCATGTGGTTTTCTTGTTTTTCTGCGCATAGAAAAAGAGAAGGCTGCTGATATTTCCCTCCAACATGCTAGTGGTCAGCCTGCAGATTGCTTCAATGTTTCCCCTGAAAACAATCAACACGTCACTTGCAACCTGAACCAGGAAAGCTTGACTACCGCACTGCTGACGTTGTACATTCAGATGCTTGCCTTTTTTGTCTGAATTGACACTTTAAATATATGAGTAAAACTTAATTCCTGGATACATCATGGGCATGTCCATGTAATTTTCTTGGCAACAGTGCAGAAGTGATCTGCCATTACCTTGTTCCAGTATTTCCAGGTTTTGTGGGTTTTGTTTTATTTTGTTTTTCACTTCCCAGTCTAATCCACAGTCCTGGGAATTCTGCTTGGTCTCCCATCCAAGCATTAATCAGGTCCAACCCTGCTTAGCTTTTTCAGATCAGAGAGTGTTGGCTTTACAAATATTACATTATATTTGCACCTGGAATCTGCAAGTTATGCTTTTACACTGAAATAGATATTTTAAATACAACTATTTACCAACTGAATTAATAAAACTGCTTTGTTGTGGGGCTTTTAAAAATCCTCATATTGTATTTTTTTTTAATTTGAGAATTTTGTTTAAAAGGTATAGGTGTCAATTAAATTTCAGTTAAAATGAAACAAAAAATGAACAAAACAATATCAAGGCCTGAGAAGGTAAATCTATGTGTGTTTTCAAGAAAGCCACTATTTATTTATTTATGCATTCATTCATTCATTCATTCGTTCATTCATTCATTCAATTAAATATTGCAAAACTAAAGGACCAACATCGAGCATAACTTGTATTTCCCGCAATGAGGTATTATTAGAAAATAAAGGTGCTCGTGGATGGCTGGCTGGAGCCCAGGGCTTTGTCTTCTGATCTCTATGTTTTGAGATGGTTCACATCCATCAAGACAACTATTTTGAGTCCATTGACTTTCCTACAAAGTTTGAGGACCTCTAAGACAGACACTCCAAATGAAATAACATATAGAAAAATTGAAAGAAATGCAGCAAATATTCACAACTCTATTGTATTTTAAAGTATTATTATTATTACACTAGCTAACCAATGAAGATGTAATTGAAGACTATTTCCCCCATAATGTACCAATAAAGCATCTTCTGCAAGTGTGGGGAGGAGAAAAAATAACCTTTAAAGAAATTAAGGGATACATTGCATTTCAGCAAAGGAGCAAAAAAATATTATAGGACTGGAGGACAAGGGGATTTAGTAGTCTTTTAAAGTAATTTATCTTTAGATTTTTATTGTCTTCTGACAAGTATGAAGATGTGCCACTTTTCAATGTTGAGCTTTTATTAGTATAACAGGCAATGAAGTAATAACTTCCGTAGCTCAGTAGATATTCCATAATTATCCTGTTCCTATTGATAATTTCAGTTGGTGAAAGATTGGTGCCTCATTGAACCAATCAGGAAGTCTTTGAGGATTTATTGGCAGCTCTTCCACAAATGTTTTTATTATTATTATTATTATTATTATTATTATTATTATTATTATTATTATTATTATTATTATTATTATTATTATTATTATTATTATTATTATTATTATTATTATTATTATTATTATTATTATTATTATTATTATTATTATTATTATTATTATTATTATTATTATTATTATTATTATTATTATTATTATTATTATTATTATTATTATTATTATTATTATTATTATTATTATTATTATTATTATTATTATTATTATTATTATTATTATTATTATTATTATTATTATTATTATTATTATTATTATTATTATTATTATTATTATTATTATTATTATTATTATTATTATTATTATTATTATTATTATTATTATTATTATTATTATTATTATTATTATTTGTTACCCAGAGCAGTGCTACCGTAAGAATGGCTGAAGAAATCAGCTTCAGCTTTGGATTTTATGTTTCAATCATCATCAGTGATTTCATTAGTCATTAGAGAGGGCCTGAATCTTTAGTGGCTGGTTTATACTGTATTTGAACTTTTGTGCCCAAACTGTGGGCATGCTCATAAAACAGCTAATGGGTGGGAGCTTGCTCATTCCCAGAATTATTCCCTTGAGGAACATAACCTATTTCAAGGCATGGATTTGCCAGAATGCTACCTGCTTTTCCCTCTATCCAGCCTCCTGTCCTTCAGGATGTTTTCTGCTATTCCTGCTAGCTGCTTGCCTTTGGCTTTTTCTAGACAGGAGGGCATCTTTCCCCTTCCCCACTCCCAACCCCAACAAAATGGGCCTGCAGCTGCTCTCATTTTTGCTTTTCAAAACACACACAGACACATTTGGGTCTAGAGGTGTCGTTTTGCAACAATTCACTTTCCTGTTTTTTTAAGGAAAAGGGTTTTTCGTGTAAAAAGTCAGGCGGTGCAAAAGGCTAACAGACACCAGGAAAAATTCCATGGGGGTCCTGCTAGCCGCAGTGATATTTACCTCCAGGTGACACAACTTCGACAACCTGCCTCACAAAACAACTACACTTTGAGAGGCTCTGAATAAATTCTTCCATATGCATCTAGCCGCTCAGTTTCTCATTTTATTTTTGTGAGGTCAAAAGTTGACACTTGACAACATCCAACTTGGTTAAAAACTTTTGATCGCCTCGGCTGGAGAAATAAAGCAACAGATTTACTGTTTTCAGTTTTCGTCACAACGCAGCTTCACAATTAATGGAAATATCCCTTAGAGAAACCGTAACAAAGTGCTTTCCCTCGTTGTACAGTACAGCCGTTTTCGATTTCGGGTTTTTTTTAAAAAAATCTCTTTCCCCATTTTTGCTGCCAGAGAGATCTCTTACGCTTTTCCTATTCCAGCGGTGAAACTTCTCAACCGGCTCTTGAAAAAGAGGAAGCTTCTTTTTGTAGTTAAAACAAGAAAAAAAAGGAGGGGGGGGGAACAGAGAAAACGGGCGCGAATGGCTCGGCTGCGCCAAGCACCGAGCTGCGCTGCTTCCTCCCGGGTCCCACCACATCAAAGGCCGAAAGAGCCAGCCCGAGACGGCGCTTCTCTGGAGAGGTCGCCAGAAGGAGCCGCGCTCGCCGCTGTGGCCTCTTCTGGGCAGGCGAGGAGCGAAAGGAAGGACAGCTGCCAATCAGGTGCGCCCTTTTCTTTCTCCGCTCCCGCCGACTTTCCTTCAAAACGTTGGGCTGCTCAAGCGTCTTCCTGGTGGGGAGCGCGAGCCCGCTGCAAAGGGCCCGCGGGCGCCCTGTGAGCGCTTGCACCTGCGGTTCTGCTTCTCTCCCCAACCTGCCGGGTGATTTCGCCCGGTGAGCCG